ACACTCATGGCCTGAGGATGTCTACAAGCTAATGTCCACTAATACTCCCAGCGCCACCTGCTCGTGAAAGGAAATCTGCGTTTTGTGACAAACGGCATCCGATTTACATGACTTTTACACGATGTGGTTTACACTTGATATGGAGCAACATGATGCATGTTTGCACGTGTTCTGTAGCGCCAGGCAGCGGATACAGGAAGCATCGGACTATTTGCAAAACGGAATTTCCAGCGTCAGGCGGTCCACGCAGGAAAAAAACATCCCCCGACGTGCGGGAGGATGCGAGGGCCCATTCGTCGCTGCTCGCAGCTTTAATTAATATTATGTTCATTCATCCAAAAGTCTTCAACGGATCTTTAAGTTAAAGTAGTAAAACCTGAAAGTCCTGCATTCACAATGAAAGTAAAAGTACTAAAGTATTCATTTCTGAATTTCACCGAGGGATCAATAAATGTTGATTGTTATCTCCATAATAATATATAAAAGTGATTTATTTGTTGATTATATTTTGTTCTATTGATCTGAATCTCATCGTCAGCAGTGTGAGTTTTTACAGAGGAGGAGACTTTCCCTCCTCCACAGAACACAGAGACACTGAACCACCAAACCTGGACCAGAACCCAAACCCAGGATAAAGCGGTTCAGTGAATGTGGTGTTGAAGGTGTGGAGGTGGATCAGTGTGTCAGAGGAGACTCTGTAGAAGGACAGAGAGCCAGAAGGACAGAGAGCCAGTGTATGTGGACAGTCCACATACACTGCTACTCTACCAGAGGGGGAGGAGGAGGTGGTGATGATGTCTGTTGTTGTCTCATTGTGACGGACAGAGTAACCTTCACCAGAGCACAAAAGACTCCAGGACTGATCATTATTTCCAAACCAACAGTCATCACTGTTTCCTTTCCTATTGATTCCTCTGTAACTCACTGATATAGAAACCGCTCCTCCCCACTCGACCTCCCAGTAACAGCGACCAGTCAGATCAGTTCTACACAGCAGCTGAGTACAGACATCAAACCTGTCTGGATGATCAGGATATGACTGATACTCTCCCTCATATGTCACCTTCCTGTTGTTGTCAGACAGTTTGAGCCATCTGTGCAGTGTGTTTGTGTCGATTGTGAGTTCACAGGAAACTGAAGGAGAGAAGGAGACATGAAACAGCATCAGTTCATCATCAAACACAGCTGATCAGTTTATTTGAGACTTCATGAATCAAAGTGGACACTCACACTTCCTCAGAACAGGTTTCAGCCTCTGATCTCCAGCAGGTTCAACCCTGGAGGAAGAAACAGAGTCAGAATGAAGCTTCATCATCATCACTGATCTTCATCATATATCAAACATATCTTATAGAAACGTAACGAACCTCAACACAAACGAGACAAACTTGAGAAGTTTGTAAAATGTTCTATAAACACTTTGTCTCCATGTTTGTCACCAGGGGTGTCGTTAGGCCCATTTTAGGGGGGCTTCACCTGAGGTGGCTAACCAAGGCAGCAATAGACACCATAGCAGACAGGTAACGTACAAGCTACGGTGCTTTTGAAAACTTTAGCTGAGACTGAGTGGATCTAAAGCTCAACGAACAAGTTCACAGCAGGACTCCTGGCTGGAACTGAACCGCACTGATGTTCTGTACAACCGCATCATTAAACTCTTTGTAATCAAAGAAAGGAGGATGGACTTTGTCTTTAAGTGAACAGCAGCTTTGGTAAGTGAAGTGCTTTTGTGTTTTTACATTTGCAGTACCGTTACTACTGTGTTCATTTGTCTATGGTGTCTTTGTTATGATATGTTAATATTGTTCCCTCTGATGTGAATAATATTTGAATGGCTCGTGCTCTTCAGTGTGTGGATGAATACGTGTTTTAGCGCTGCAGGTCTGCTGGATTGATTTGTTGCTTTGTTGTCATATAAATATATGTGACTGGTTCTTGTGAGTTTGTTCTTGTCATTGTGTTAATTACGTTGATTTTGACTATATGCATTGTCTGTTAATGACGAAGCATCCCGTCATGTGCGTATTCATGTATCCGTTTTCTTTTACAAAGCAGGAATGATGGTCTGGCGAAATGGGGATTGTGTGGTGATTGCTTCAGCCTGTATGAATCAGTAGAGAACAGATAAACTCTGTGGGGAGAGTGCAGCTTGTGTGTTGCTGTTGGTTTTCCTGCTAAGCTAATTTAGTACTAAAAGTACAAAAGTACTAATAACAAACACCAGTAATGTCGGAGCTTATCAATACTCCGGTCTTTTATTATAGTACCCATCTCTTCCTTTAGGTCATGTAGAAACACTAAAGTCTCTCTAGAGCCAGTGTCCATTCTGTGCTGCTGTAGAAACATGGTGGTGTGAGACGGCGGACTAAGTTCAGGAAAACTCTACCATTCTTAGTGTCAGGTCATAATAAACACATAAAAACATAGTTATGAATATTATATTCAGCCTCTGTCAATAAATACCCTACATTTCCTTTTAAATCAGCATTAATTTATATTTGAACACTCACTGAAGAACTACAAGTTGTGAAACACAACATTGACATATTAATAACTTATGAAGTTAATATATTAAATGTCTTGGCTAACAGTTGTCTATTTCTTTCATGCTAATGGTAGCACCTCGGAGGAGAAGAGCAGAACAGAGTGGCAGAGTGGAGAGATATTGTACTCAAACGGTGACTAAGTCTAAATCTATTTATCATCACGGACAGACAGCAGACGTCTGTAGATCACCAAAATATGTTTTAAGAATCAACCAGCTTCACTAGAAACTCTATGAGACATCACAGAGAATCGTAGAGTGCTGAGGTTAAAAAGAAGTTCCACAAAACTCTCTCATAAACATCCGTCTCTTCAGCTGCTTTAGATGTTCCACCTTCTTAACCAGCTGTAGTCTCTAGATGTGTCTGTCTGCTGTTTGCTGCTGAGCAGCTCGTGTACGGTGAGTTTATCAGAGCTTGTGTGATAAAACCAGCTGCTGCTGATGAGAGCAGTGAGAGTGCATCAGTAAAGCTGTGGTCGTTGTGACTCAGGTCCAGCTCTCTCAGACTAGAGGACGGGGAGCTGAGGACTGATGACAGAGCTCCACAGCTTCTCTCTGACAGATTACAGCCACTCAGCCTGAAGGAGAGTTAGTGATGAAGACAAACACAATACTGTTCTTTCTTCTTCTTCAATGTAAAATACAACATTTCTGAGTTCATTAATTGAACAATCGAGGATTAGATTCTTTTATTGTGTGTATGACTGGAACATAACCATGATTAATGAATCCTAATCTCTAATAACTTTTAGTCTTGATTGAACAACAAAGTGACATTTTTTTACCTTCAAAGCTGCATTAATCTGTGGAGTTGCAATGAAACTGAAGAAACAATTTGCATGTTTTTCAATTGATCAACTAAGCAATTAGTTTATTAAATCTGGCAACAGAAGACTTTCATGAGTTGAGAACTACTCTGCTCATGTGATAAAGCTATTACAGGCAGTTATCTGGGTACTTACAGAGCTTTGTTGGAGGCTTTGACTGCTGGCACCAGACTCAGGTTCTTCTGGTCCAACACGTCCAGATGTTTTCCTGATGACAATGAGATGAAGATCAGAGCTGAACACTGAGCAGGAGACAGTTCATCAGTGGCGAGACGTCCTGAACTCAGGGACTGTTGGATCTCCTCCACTAGAGAACCATCATTCAGTTCATTCAGACAGTGGAACAGATTGATGCTTTTCTCTGGAGACACATTCTCTCTGATCTTCTCCTTCATGTACTGGACTGTTTCCTGATTGGTCCGTGAGCTTCTTTTCTTTTTCAGTTCTCTTTCAAACTCAGCGCGTCTTTCGATATGATCAACCTGTCTTTACTAACAGGCCATGTACCACAGTCCTTCAGAGTAGCTGTATTCAAACCTCTTCTTTAGAAGCCCGCTCTCCATCCAGAGGTGTAGAACTATAGACCGATCTCTAGCCTTCCCTTCCTCTCTAAGATCCTTGAGAAAGCAGTTGTGAATCAGTTGTGTGACTTTCTATGTAACAATAATTTGTTTGAGGATTTTCAGTCAGGATTTAGAAAGCATCATAGCACAGAGACAGCTCTAGTGAAATAACTGATGACCTTCTGATTGATCAGATAAAGGACTCGTCTCTGTTCTGGTCTTGTTAGACCTTAAAGCTACGTTCAACACCATTGATCATTACATCCTGTTGCAGAGACTAGAACCTTTGATTGGCATTAAAGGAATCGTAGTAAACTGGTTTACGGTGGGCTAACTTTAGTAGCTAACGACTGAGCTTCCATGGTGCAGAGGTGTGCTTCTAATTCACTCAGCCTCGCCTCAAACACAGCAAACACGCTACACTTATAACATGTACCATTATACCTAAAGGAGGCAGAGGAATAGCTTACCATGTGACACACCGAGAGAGAGAGAGAAAGAGTGAAGCCATCGCTAACTGCTAAGCTAAAGTACGGTAGCTAACGTTAGCAGTACTGGACAACATGTAAAGTCTTGATTTAGCGAGGAGGCCACCAGAAGAGGTCACTGGCTGCTTGAAACCCATCAACACCAGCAACCTTCACCTCCTCGCTGGCATTGCCCCTGCTGATACTAGACGGGAAGTTGCCAGCCGAAAACAAAATCTACTAGTGATGAACGCCATCTCCTCCATGGATGTCCCTGTCCGACCCAACGGCTAAAATCAAGAAGAAGCTTTCTCAGCCATGTCCAGCCCCTAACAAAGTCTCAGGAAGAAACCAGAATCCAACTCTGGAGGGAAAAGCTTGAGAATGACCATCCTCCAACTGTCATGGGAACACCCCCACTGAAAACCTTCCCCCTGGCCCAGAAGCACCATGGGCTCAATGGAAAACACTAAACCGCCTCAGGACGAGAACGGGACGATCAAAAGCTGCTCTGGTCAGATGGGGCTACAAGACTGGCCAAACCACCTGTGAATGTGGAGAAGCAGACCACACTATGGAGCACTGCCTTGTCTGCCCTCTACTACCCAACCCTGAGACTCAAAAGACTTTGCAGTATTCAAATGCAAAGGACTGTGTAAAGAAATGGGAAACTGTCATATAACCATCACGCTTCAGTGAAACGAAAAGAAGAAGTCACCAGAAGAGGGAGAGAGATTTGAGTGCTTCAGCAGAACTAACGAAAGTTTAAATGTAAAACGGATAATTAGCCTCTGTAATGAAGAATATGACACAATTAACTTGGTTAAGCTAAAGCAGCTAAAGTACCCTACCAGAAAAACAGATGCACTGTCAACCGGAAGTGAGACAACACGCCTACCGCAGCACGCTCCAACTTAAAAATATAAATCCAAAATATCACCAACAAACCCACATGAGTGCACCCAGTCAGTGCAACCAATGACAACAACCTCCCATTACACTAAAAGTCCCATCCACTCAAAACAATACACAACATTCATAAAACAACTCCTCGACAACAGGAAAGCCTTCCTCAAGGAGAAAGGGACATGTTTCAGGTGCTGTTCTTCAATCTCCCACCTCGCCAAAGACTGCAAGTCCTCTGTGAAGTGCTCTGAATGTGACAGCACCTTTCATGATGCAGCCATGCATCCTGATGCATCAACTCACGCCATCAAGGCTCCTTCACCTTCACAAGAGAATAGCGGCGAGGGAGAAGATCATTTTAACGTGGCTGTTAGAACAAGCTGCACAGACGTTTCTGGTCCAGGTCAGTGGACCTGCTCATGCTCAAAGATCTGCCCCTCAGAAATATACCCCAAGGGTTTCAAGAGCTTGGCTGTCAAAGCCTTTGTAATTCTGGATGATGAGAGCTCATTAGCTGGACCAGAGCTCTTCAAACTGTTCAAACTTGAGAGCAAACCGCAGAACTTTCTTTGGCATCGTAGAAACTTCTGGCAAGAAGACAGAAGGATTCCAGATCGAGTCACTGGACTACAGAGTTCTCACCTCTCCCTCACCACTAATTGAACAGTAATTAAACACCAAGCACCAGCCTGGTGCTTGGTTCCCAGCTTGGACCCCAGAAGCTGAACTACTCCTGCTACTCAGAAGAGACGTCCTTCGAGCACGGATCGACCTGGGCTGGGTAGTAATAGGAGAGATGTGTCTGAGTAATGTACATAAGCTGAGAGTCAACATGTTCAAGACCATCATGCTGGACAAAGATTGCTATTACATTTTTCTAAACCCTGAACAAGCTTCATGTACGTCAAGGAGACACAGCAGTACTTTAACAGCCAAGCAAGGGGACTAAGAGGATGCTGGGACAGACGGTATTCAATCTAACTGAGCGTGACAACAACCTGGCTCTGTCAGTGAAGACATCGTCTTCTTTGAGATAAAGGACCCAAACGTCTACAGAGACCACCTTAACAGTTGGGTTAACACTGTCATTTAAAGAACCACGCCAGTCTTTGCAGAACAACTAAGTGCAGGTAGTCCAATGTTTTGCATCTCTACGATGAGCCTGAAAACAGAAACGTGAGATGCAGGAACAGTATGTAGCATTCATGGAGAAGATCTTTGCCAACGGACGTGAGGAAGTAGCACCACCACTGAGAGAAGATGAGGAGTGCTGGTATCTCCCCACGTTTGGGTTCCAGCTCGCACAAAAACAAATCAGATCTTTGAATCAAGCTGCCATGACTTTGGTGTCTCCCTCAATGCCTCTTTACAGGTCGTGACCTCAACAAATCCCTCATTGTTGTCTTTTTACAACTTGTTTCTGTTTTGAATGACACAAGGACCTCAATATCAACAAGGAAGTTGTTGAGTACCGCATGAAGGTCGTTTTTTGGCAACGGGCCATCTCCTGCTGTGGCTATCAACGGGCTGCAAAGAGCCATCAGAGAAGGTGCTCAGGAGCATGAGGCCGATACTTTAGACATAAAAGGCTCTTTTATGTTGACCATGGCTTGGTATCCGTATTATCTGAAGCTGTGGCAATCGACCCGTTCCAATGAACGCAGGCGTCACTCGCTAAGTCAAACCTCCACTTACAAAAGTTTGCTTCAAACTGTCATGGAGGCCCTCCCGCCTGAACATCCTATTGGTCATTTTCTTCTAGGGAACTGAATTTAATGCTTCTTTGGAGTCATAATGTCTCTCACAGAGGGTATTTCTGAAAACATTTAGCACACTTTCTTCTCTCAGGGCTTCCATACTAACCAGAGAATACAACTCATACATGCAGCTTTACCTTTGCTCTGACAGGCGGATGTTCCTCTGTTCTCTGAAGTCTCTCCAACATCATCTGTGTGAGAAAGGTTACAGTATGTGTTATTTCATCACTTTGACTTATTACCTATTTCTGATCTTCAAGTTAACGCTGATTGGTAATTAGTTTTTCTTCATTTTTCAGGTGTTACGACCGGTTCGGGAGTCGCAACATAGAGCGGAGCAAGGAGGCGCTTATATAGGTAAACCACATCGTCATCCAGGTGCCTTCAATCACTCGTTAGGGAGCTGCACCTAGAAGTCAAAAGACACAGAATACACACACATGCGCACACACACACCCAAGCACAAACATTCACAGCAGGACACAGAACCATACGCAACACTCCCTTCCTTAAGATGACAGCCATAAGGGTGTCATCCAAAACCATGCTGTTTTAAGTATTGAACCTCCGTCTGCATCTGGACTCTTCCCGTGGGGCCGACATGACAAGCACGCTGCTCAATTAACCTTACAATGTCACCATTGTGGGAACCAGAAACAACCAGTAGTACTCCACTCACTGTCATCATCAACAGAAGAAACCCTCTTACGCATGAGGATACCAACCTCCCAGTAAAAGTGGCATGAGTAGTACCACTCTCATCCTTAGGCAACACTGCTGCCATACACTTGGCCAAAGGAGGGTCAGCCTTCTGGGCTGCCATCAGCTGTTCCTTGCCAACCTTCAACTGTGTGTCAGGCCCAGCAGGCACAGTGACAGGACAGGTCAACTTAACTTCAGTAGACTAATTTCCAACAGCATTAGTGGACAGCTTATCTAGAGGCAACTCAGAAGTTACAGAAGGATCAGGATCAGCCTCTAGACCAGGGGTGTCAAACTCATTGTCGGTCGCCTCAAAGGGCCGGTTGTAACTGTAAGACTGTACAACTGTAACTACTCCCTAACATATTGTTAAATAACTCTCTGAATTTTATTATTGTTTATTCAAGTGTAAAAATATTGTACATGCAGTTATATAAATGTAAAAATATATTTAAGCACATTTCTGTTATTATAACTTAAATGCTTTTAATTTAGCGTTAACAAACCTACATTACTCTATCAAAGATCAAACTTTTAAAGAAAATAACAAAGACAAATATAAAACACAAGTTATTACATTAACTTTGTTCAAAGCTATTTTTGTCACCTCTCTGCATCACTAATGTTCCTCCCCGTCGTCGTCCAGTGCATGGCAGCTACATCCAAGAGCTCCTCACTGAGAGTCAGGTCTTATAAACATGGATAGATGCACTGTGTCCGTGTTGTCTGTGCTTTCATCAACAGCTAATGAAAAATACAAGTACCTGCTTGGCTCTTCGGCTAGCTGTGTTGTTAGATTGCTGCTAGTTCATGAACTCGATCTGCGATGGTGTTCTTCACAAACTGACATTTGTAAAAGTCTGTATCTGATCGGAGCACACCTGCTTACATACCTTTAGCATGCGCTGGGCTGTAGCTTTTGTGAATATATTCTGCTGTGATTGCAGTCTGCCTTTTAATTCTTGGACAATTTGATGTTTTTCTTGGAGGCTAAATTTTGCTCCGTGTTTGGTGTCAAAATGGCGACGTGAATTGTATTCCTTCATCACCGACACGCATCATAACACAGTAGACAGACCCGTTTTTCTCCTTGAAGCACAAACATGTATTCGCTTTCCCATCTCTCATTACATTTTCTTCCCTCTGCATAAATGTTTCTCTTGGTGGACATTTTGGGATTATTTGTCGATCTTTTTCAACTCAATCAATTGTTGGAAAACCTCTTTACGGGCTGTTGACTCTCCTGTCCACCTGTTGTGATAGTTTTAATGTCAGTACACAGACAACATGCTATCTCATAATTTCAACTTTCTATCTCATACTTTCGACTATGGGGATACTTTTATTTTCAAGTCTAACTTTTAATTTTTTTCCAAATTAAAAATAAAATAAAAAATCTTTTTTTAAATTTTTTTTTGCTGGCGGATTCGCGGGTCACATAAAATGACGTGGCAGGCCGGATTCGGCCCACGGGCCTCGAGTTTGACATGTGTGCTCTAGACTGTCAACAGGTGGAGCCACTTCAGATAAATTCACCACATCTTCATACTTTCTTGACTGGGCACGAGTTACAATGCAAGCAAGAAGGACTTTAGGCACCCGAGATGACAGATCAGCACTCTGGTAATTGTCAACTACGGAGCCTGTTGGTCTATCCACTACAATGGGAGCAGGAAACACCTTCCCTCCAGCCACATCATTACCCAAAATCAGGTCTACTCCCCCTAAAGGAAGCTGGGGATGAATCGCCACCACAACAGGGCCTGTAACCAACCTAGATTGCAAATACACAACATGCAATGGGGCTTTAAGCCACCTCATCCCACATCCTTGGACTGAAGCACTGCTACCAGTGGAGGTCTTCTCAGAGAGAGGCAAAACTCCTGCCAAAAACAAGGACTGAGAGGCTCCTGTATCCCTAAGGATACGAATTGGGATGAGCTTCTCAGAATCAGAAATTGCTATTGACCCCTCCATACGGAATGGTGCAAAGGAGTCATGCTCCGTGAGTTTTTTTTTATTGGTCCGACAAGGACCATCTACACAGGGCAACTACTGCAACGATTAGCCCTACAGGTTTAGTACCTTCTGACTTTTTATTGAGAGCATGACAGTTTGCTATGAAATGACCAGGCTTTTTGCAATAAAAGCAAATCCTCTCAGAGTCCACCTGGCTAAAACCTGCAGCCCTTGTAATGGGAACTGAAGGAGACCCATTGCTTCCAGGTCTTAAACGAAAGGGGTTAGGAGAGGCTAAGCTGTTAGTCTCGCCTGTTCTGCCAATAAAGACTGTTTTATGAGCCAAGACATACTCCTCTGCAAGCACAGCAGCCTCCTCCACTTTAGTCACCCTTTGCTCACTCAGATAGGTGGCCACCACTTCAGGGACACAATTTCTAAATTCTTCCAGAATGATCAACTCCTGAAGTTCCTCCTTGGTCACAAGCTTTTGTGATGTGCACCACCTAGTGAAATGGATTTCATTTTCTCTAGCAAAATCCACAAATGTCTACTTCTCCACCTTCCAATACCCTCTAAACCTCTGTCTGTAGGCCTCAGGGACCAACTCATAGGCACACAAGATGGCTGCCTTAACGATGTCATAATCTGAGCTCTGGGTCAGAGTTAAAGATGAATAAGCCTCCTGAGCTCTACCTCTCAGTACACACTGCAACAGTAGTGTCCAAAATTCTTTAGGCCATGCTAAGGTGGTAGCAACACGCTCAAAGTGGGAAAAGTACTTTTCTACCTCCTTCTCACCAAAATGAGGAACTAAAGCTATGTTCTGTTCTTAGCTACATGAAAACGAGGACTAGATGTATAAGAATTAGCCTGCTCAGTTTCAGCTCTTGACCTCAACTCCAGCTCCTTCATTTTCTCCTCATGTACTTGTCTCAACCTCTCCATCTCAAACCTCCTTACCTCTTCTCTTTCCTTAGCCTCCATTTCTAGCTCTTTTATTCTGAATTGCAATTCCAATTCTCGCAAATGTACAGATTGAGCATCTTGAGACTTCAAGATTACTTGTTCCGTCTTCCCAACAGTTAAACCTGCAGACACATGTAAGCCCTGCTCCTCATCAGGCTGACTAGATTCACGGGGCAATACTCCCTGTTCAATGAGTGCAGTGACTACCTTAGCTCTAAGCTGACCTTTCTTAAGGGACGTTTGAGCAATTTCAAGATGGTACTGCTCTGCAATAGACATAAGCTGGGCTTTGTTTTTTGCATTGAGCCAGCTGCTCTATTGGAGGACCTTCACTGATCTCTTGAAAATCAGAATTCATTGTGAGATCACAAAAATAACTTTATGAGGAACAAATCTCTACAAGGTAACACACCCAAAAATGGGCTCCCCCTTGATTAATTATTACACAACAGTAAACATGTTTTTTTTTTTGGCCAAACCACCAACAAAAAGTAACACTACCACACAGAAATAGTGCTACCAAACAGCACAGCTTACCTACAGAAAATCAGAGAGTAATTGAAATGCACCAATCACTAGGCTGTCTATACAAGAGCAGCTACTTTACTATTTCAGGCCACAGTATAGAAATAGTGTTAACAGTACTTTTACCCCTACGATACACTGAAATTCTAAACACTACTTCTCTACCTCAACTGAGAAGAAAGTAGGTATCCCGGACGAGCCCCCATTATGTTACGACCGGCTCAGGAGTCGCAACATATAGGAGGGACACAACACCAAGTTAGGTTAAAAACAACCACAGCTGCCAGTTTATTTACAGGACACAAGTAAACTGTAGTGCACAAATCCCACTGCAGACCCGGGTCTGGTGCCAGGCAGATGAGAGAGAGAGCGAAGGCGGAGCAAGGAGGTGCTTATATAGGTAAACCACATCCTCATCCAGGTGCCCTCAATCACTTGTTAGGGAGCTGCACCTAGAAGTCAAAAGACACAGGGTACATCCCAAGTCTCTTAATTGCATTCCCGTTTCCCTCACTTGCGTCCTTTCCTTGCGTCTTAGTCCCTCCCACCAGGGATGCATGGAGGAAACCATGCAAGGAGAGAGGAACGAGGAAATATGTTTTAAGAGACATGAGACGTCCTTTCCTCAGTTGCGTCACGTGAAGCGACGTCTGTTTCTGATGACGGAGGATCAGCTGATCACAGCTGGATCAGCTGTCAGTCGGCTGTAACAGCTGGAGAGACTTTTGAGAAGTTTGTCTGTTCACATGATCACTGTACTTAATAATACTAATAACTAATAAAGATACACAGTAATCACCACTGTAGAGGTGTGTCTCTCTGTAGTCTGTTAACAAACTGTGTCCTGTGTATAAGCACAGGATCCATTTCTACCGGAGGAATGCAATCGTCTTATTTATGAATTATTTGCGTCTGTACGTTTTGAAATTCAGATTGTGACGTCGATATTAAATAACCCAGAATATGATTATAGTTTCTCTTAAATGATAAAACTCATCAAACCCGACAATCGGGAATGAACAGCCTCACGTGACTGAATGAAATGATGATAAATGATGTAAAAAGTGTTTAGTCTCTCCAGCTCTCTCT